GTTCTTCACCAGGGTCTTGGTTCTCACCAGCTCATTGTTAGAGGCGTTGTAGACAACATCAATGATCCTGGTCTTGCGGGTACAGACTGAAATGTCGTTAAAACCACATTAAAACTACCTATAATGAAACATCCAACAAAAGCTCAGCAAATGCATTAAAGAGCAGGTTGAACGGGTCTTTCTCAGAGAACAATGATATCCATCAAGCACATTCAGTAGCAGAACTGGACAGATTATCTTCACTGAAAGCTGCACCTGTATAAGCAGCACAAAACATTTATCAGAAACTTACATTCTGAGCCCCATGAGAAGTTGCCCACATCGAGCCTCAAGGCACGGTATTTCTTGTTTCCACCACGGACTCTTACTGTGTGGATGCGGCGAGGTCCAATCTATAGAGAGTCATAAAAATGTATGTTTATATAAAGTGACAAAGGCCCATGAAGAAATACTTTGAGCTTGTCCATGTGTCAGTGTAACTATGACGAATCCTAACATTGGAAGGTCAAAGGTTTTGACCAAAACGGCCAAAAAAGACCAACCTAAGGACGTGTTTTCATCACCCACATTGTCGGAAAGACATACATAATGATAGCAAAACACATTTAAGTTAGATTTACCTTTGTGTTTGCAGGAGGACGCCCGAGCTCATATTTCCTTTTCTTGTGGACGGGCTTGCGTTTGCCACCAGTCTTGCGGCGTTTGTGCCAGTTGTCCCTTGAGATACCTTTAGGGTACAGAGATGCATTAGAAACAAATCTGAGTGAAATTAAATCATTCCTTTCCACCGCATACTTGAATGTTCAGTTCTCCAAGGTTTATCCGCATGAACAATCGGATTCCGCAATTGGATTCATCATGCACACTCAAGCTTCAACAATTTAACCAAATATTATTTGCTCTATACCTGTTCGATTTCCCCATAGAACACAACCCCCAGTCGTCTGGCCCAAAATCTACTTTTGTGCTCCATATAAGAAAGTCATACTGATTTGAGATATGAGGGTGAGTACACAACA